TATATATATATATATATATATATATATACATTATTAAAATTGAGATTTATGATTTTATAGCATCTGATGAGAAAATTAATATTAAAGAAGGACTATTTGTGACAAATTGTTTTAATGTTTCTCTCAGTTTTCCATTAAAATCAGGAGGATAATAAGGAAAACTTAATATTTCGCCGTATTACATATTACATTTAATCCATTATTACATTCTCCTGTCATATTCTGTTATATTTAAAGTTAAAATTAATGTATTGGCATCATAACGGTACATCTCAGATACATGTTCCAGAAATCACTTTAGTCGAATCATTTGATGAAAAAAGGGGAGAGGGAGTTCAGGCCAAGAAAAAAACTATCATTCTGTAATTTTTGAGTGCACTGAATCCTCATTTCAATTTTCTCACCTCGTAAATGTGCGTTCTGAGATACCTGCAAAATGGTATTTTTTTCGCTTACAACTTGAAAACACAGCACTCGTAGAGACTCACACAAAAACTAACTACATTAAATTTGGCACAAATTATGTTTTATGCAGGGGTGGATCCAACTGATTGTTTTGGAGGGGGCCATCATAGGTTTTTTGTTAAATAATAAACATTGTTTTTCTATTGTATATTATTTGTGTAGTGTATATATGATACTACACAATATTATTTTTAAAATCATTACATTATTCTAATATAAATATTTCAATATTTTTTTTCCAAATAAAATAATGTAACCATAGAAAACTCCAACCATTTTGTGGAGGGTCATGGCCCCCATGCCCAATTCCGCCCCCGGTCTTATTTATTTTTTGTCTGATGAACAATACAGGCACTAATGCACATTTAACTTTGGCAAAAAGTTCGCAATGAAAAAATTTTCGTTTTTTTTTTACATTTTCGCGTTATTTACAAGCATTTTACTTCGATTTATTTATAATGACACCTCAAGGGGGGAGTTACGCAGATTTGCCACACACTTGCGCGTCTAGCATGTGGTAAGCACGTGGCTGCGGCTACCAACCCCGTAGAGATGGGCGTTCGCGAAAATTGAGCTAAGGGTACAGGGAGATGGCATGACGTCACAAACTTGAAGCAACCGATCCGCCATATTACATATGCCCAAAACGCCTGTAGGCGTCCTCGTGTTGAGATGTATTATTTGTCATAATTTATAGTATTTAAAAGCCTTGATCAGGTTAGCAAGCTTTCGAAACAGTTCTTTACAGTTACTTGTGTGATTTACTGCTGTACAAATAGTTCGAGGAGGACGTGAATTACTTTGCTCATGTAAGTAGCTACTTTATATGGTTTGAAGAACAGAGTAAAATTTGAATATTTTGGTTAATTTTTGTGATTTTTCTGTTCATGCCAAGGAGAAGAGCACTGTGGATTAGAGTTCTGCGAAAAGACACCCGGCAGCCTAGTACATAGAACAAGTTATGCTCGGTTCATTTTCAAGAAGAGGATTTTGATAAAACTTCGTTATGATACGTACGTTAGTTATACTCGCTGTTTCAACAATTTTAGCGGCATTGCTACCACATCTAAGACAAGTGAATTGTGCAAGAATAATTCACTGAAGATGTCTTCAAAAGGATAAATAACAGTATTATGTTTGACGTCTTCTACAAAGAAACCTGAAAATGTTTCTGAACTATGTTACTGAACCACCAACAAATTAAAATTCAGAACCCCACTCTTTTGACTTTAGATGAGAGTGCTTAATATTTATCTAAGGAAATTGTGAAATAAAAAGAAACAGTACAGTAAAACAATGTCCTTTTTTATTTTATAGTTATGATGGTAGCCAAACCTCCAATATTGTGACAACAATAATTTTAATAATATTTCGTAATGATTTGATCATTACTTTCTCCTTCAGAATGTCAGCAGTGTTAGGTTTTTTTTTTTTTTTTTTTTTGCATACTTTTTGTAAGATATCATGTGAGAAATCTTAAAGGTAGAAGAAGTATTTTAAATAGTGTAGTATTCTTCACTTTCACGCACTCAAAATACTTTACAGTAACCCCACAATTTGTAATGAAGCTTCTACGCATTAATTATTGAACTCTTCAATATACTGAAGATTATTAAATTCCATTGAAAATTCGTAACTACCAATTTATTATCGTGCTTCACAGGACCATTTTGGGCACACCAATATGGTGGACTTGCTTCACCCGCAGAACATGGCCGAGTTGGTATATTGCTACCTCCATGTATTCATAGCTTCATGTTCGCCAACGTTCAGCAACGCACAGTATACTTTGATTTATTTAGAGCTTCAATTTGACAGATCATCAGCTGTTACGGTGTTATCCAATCAGGAGCTTACACGTTCTACAGTGACGTCACTATGGTGACATTCAATCTACGGACTGGATGATACAGTAGCAAC